TATGTGGTCGTGGCTGGGACCCCACGAGCTGAGGCCTAGGCACAGAAGGTGGCAGGGGGCTGGAGAGAAGACGTAGGTGCTGACAGGACCCGGACTCACTACACAGAGGCGAGAACCCAACCCTGGGCCTTCGGGACAGACAAGAGGAGACACATCACATCTCTAAAATGAAACGCTTTGATTGCGTCAATCACTAGAAATTGTAAAACTACCCCCGAAGAATTAACAGCCGCCATCCGTGCTAACTACATCCATCATACATTCGTCTTTAGTTTCTGTTATCATATCACTGTCTCTGGGGACCCCTGTCTTGTCATCATTTGCCCTTTATAATTTATTCATCTCATTCTTGCCTGCATCCGTTCTACTTATCATTCATCTTTACAGTTGTACATAAAATGCAATGGGCCCTCCCAGGGCAGGGCTGGCAGGGAAGCCCCTGGAAGGCTGCCGGGGGTCCCATCCCAGCCCCCGCCGACAGGCGGGGTAGTGGGGAAGAGGAAGAAAGGAGACTAGAGGGATGGATACAAGAAGAAGAGAGGGGAAAAACATCCCGAGGAGAGAGAAGACAGGAGGAGACAGAGGCAGGGGGAGAACCACAGAAAACACGGTGGTGCCAGAAGCCCAGCTGGGCGCTTTCTTTTTAAAGTTTTCATGTTCACATTTTCCCTGGTAAACTCAAAGAAGGTCACACTGAACTTCCACAGCCGTGACGTGACCTGTGCTGTGGGGACCCGATTAGAGATCGCGACGGCAGGCACCTTGCTTGTCTGCTGGGCTGACTCCTGGTGTGTGTGTATTGGTGGGGGGAGCTGGCTTGGCAGTGTGTGAGTTTGCTTGGTATTCTGGGGTTGCCCGAGTGAGGACACAAAAGCCAATCTGTAGCTAGTGAATTGGAACTTCAATGTTTAGCAAGCAGACTCAGCTCCCCCTCTCCACTCCTCACTACCTCCAGGACTCCTGCTAACTGGACCCTGCTCCCCTGCCCCCCTCCCTCCAGGGCCACTGCTTGCCGAATCACCCCAAGATCTCCAGTCAGAGCCTCTCCCCGGAGACCCCACATCCCCAGCTTGGGAAGCAGATGAGCTCTTCCTGGAAGGTGATATCCTGTAAATCCCCAGAGGCTGGAGGGGCAGGGACTAAGCACCCAGGGCCTATTTTAAGGAGCGGCATTCTTCCAAGAGGGCTCTTGGACACACTTGGGCTGCAGATGGCTCTCAGAAGGGCCTCTGCTTCCCCATGGAAGGCTGGCCGGTCAGCTCACAGCTGACACTGTCACCCTACTCCCAACTCTGTCCCCTTCTTTCCCATATTCAGAAGAAAGCCTTCTAGTAACTCTGCACCCCACAGTCACCCCAGTCCCTGTGAATTCCCAAAGCACCTGGCAGCCTGGCAGAGCACTATCCTGGGCTGTGGTGGCAGACCCAATGCTGTGGACCTATTGTGTGACCTTGGGCAAACTTCTGTCTCCTGTCGAGGAAAACTGCAGTATAAAGTGGATACAAAGACAAAGCAGTTAGAGTGCTTGCCATCACGTCTGCCATGTGGTAAATGCCTGATAAATATTAATTGTGATTACTGAGCAATTGTCCACACTGCTCAGTTTATAAAAACACGTGCTGTCTTGTATTGTTGAATGTGTGTGTGTGTGCGTGTGCGTGTATGTGTGTGAACAAAGTTTCTGTTCCCAACTCTATGGGAGATTCCAAAAGGGGAAGAGGATGTGTCTTATAGGACCCCAGCACCTGCTACGTGGCACACTCTCAGGATAATGCTTGGTGAGGGGTTGAGACACTGTCCTTTGCTGACTGCTCTACATGGTGGGAATGGATATTGAGAACAGAAGGGAATGGGCTGTAGAGGAAAGAATGAAGTGGAGGGTGTGTGTGTGTGTGTGTGTGTGTGTGTGTATGAGAGAGAGAGAGAGAGAGAGAGAGAGAGAATAATCAAAGGGGAACCTAGATGCTAGCAGGTGTTCCAAAGACCCTGGTGAGGCCTCAGGATTTTGCAATCTCATTCTGCAGAAATCATAGCAAACTCAAAATTGACGATGCACTTGTAATTCTGGTTCCGGGGTTAACTCTGTCCGTTGTTGGAGGGGCTCTAATTGGGCTGACTTCCAGGGATACTGACCTCTGATGTGTAAGGCCAGCCACTAGGGTCTGGCTTCTGAGTTTGCACTTGTGCCAGCTCCCCATTTGTACTCCTCAGATGAAGACATGCGTTAGGGGTGTCTCCAGTTATGTGGCTGTTGTTGCTCATGGTGATAGCAGTGGTGTGTGTGTATGTGTGTGTGTAGCAACCACAGCACTATTTTCCCTGCTGGCAACAGGATGCTAGTTCCATAACTGGCTGGGAAGCAGAAGACACTGCCTGCACTCGCCCCGTTCCTCTCCTCAGTGAGAAAGTGGAGGGCTGATTTTAATGGATTGGCTTTAATGGATTTTGAAGCTGGAAAAGTGCCTAAATTGCTGAGGTTACCAGTTTTCCAGGTTCTTTTTCCAATTTCATTCTCCTTAGTCAGACACAGAGTGTGCTCGCTGGGGCACCTGGTGTGGCCACCTCAGCCAAGAGGTCCCTGCCCCCATCCCATCCTGCAACCAAAGAAGCAGCCACGAACAGCCTCAGCCTGAGAGAGCACCTATTACTTGGTTGGGTGACAGCATTCTGCAAGGTCCTGTCCCTGCACTTGCTAGCGGCACACTTTCTCTGATCTCGCGGTGGAGAACCGGCCAGCAAGAGTAACACCAGTTCTGCTTTCTTTCTGGAATCAAAACAAATCCACTTGAAAGCATAATTTTGCCTGGTAATTTTGTTTTTCACTTGTGCAAGTGTGAACGTGTGCAGGAACGCTGTGTCCTCGGAGCTGCAGTCCCATCTTGTCTCCCCAATCCCTCCTGCCATGGGCTGTGGCTGCCCAGAGAACTGTGTGATGAGGGTCCGGAGGCCATGGCCTGGTGAAGGTGCTGAGAGGACGGCGTTCTGGGCACTTCGAGGGGACTCTGAGTGATGACTTAGCCTGCCGTTGGCCTCTCTCCTCAGTCCTCCCTTCTCCCCACACACATTCATGTTTCTTTTTGCCCTTTTACTGCAAACTTGCCCAACTTGCCTTTGTGATTTCGGAAAAATGCCACTGGATGTCCCAGTATGACGGATTAGCACAGATTATGGGGAACAGTGTTAATTATCGGTGGAAGGGGGGCCAGCGTGTCGCTCCAATGTGCTCCTGATTTCCCCTGGGCCTTTCTGCCTGGTAATAAGCCTTCTTCAATCTGGCAGGCCCCTTGGTGAAATCAGCACCACGGACAGTGATATTGATTGCGTCTGAGAAACCATCACAGCTGCTCAACCAAATTACCTTTGATATGCGACCTTTAATGTAATTACTGCAACATCAAAGTATTTCTATAAATTATTAAAGAACTAATACACTCCATCATTTAGCTGTTCTATTATATGTAAAATAAACAACCACAAGTTAACGTTAGAGCCCGAATAAGCCGCACTTGCTCCTCAAATTCTCCCAGTTGCTGCCCCTCCCCCTTCAAAGCCCGGAGCTCCCCTGCCCCCAACACCTCTCTCTCTCTCTCTCTCTCTCTCTCTTTCTCCCCTCCACCCCTCTTTCTCCATCTGATTCCTGCTTTCAGCCATCACGAAACTCCCCAGCAATCTCTCTCAAGCTGATGAAGGGCCGCCCAGAACAACGTGGTATTTTCTATTCCATTTGGGTGGTTCTGAAAGATCTATCACAATCTCCCCCAAAACAAAGTACCATAAACACTTTATTAATCAGCACAAACCTTTCTCAGAAGCCTTTGATTATCCTACAATATGGCTTTATGCTTCGCACATAACATGGGGCGATGCGGGGCATATTTCTGCCATCTTACAGAGGGCACCCAGAAAGTAATTACTATAATATATGTGCACGGAGCCGCGCCGCTGAATAACCAACCGGGGAACCGCCGCCCTGCCGGAGCTGGGCTCCACGCAAAGTCTGCACGCCGTTCCATTTCCATACATTTGCATCCGCGGGTGTGTTATTAAGATGACTCAGCCTCGTGCTTTGCAATCACAAACACCACAACACAATACAAAGGCTGTTTCCACGGAAGGGAGGCCGGTGTCATGCAGCACTCCCCAGCCCAAAACGGCTAAGGAAAGCGCTCCCACGCCAAGAGAAGGCAGGCCCCCGCCCGAGGCTGCAATCCCCCCTCACCCCTACCCCCACCGCGGGGCCTCCCGCGGCCACCTGGTTAACCTTTCCCGACCAGGGGCGGAAATGGAAACGTGTGTTTACATACGGGCTGCTTGCTAAGAATGTAAACATGCCTGTGCAAGCATGGGTGTGCATATCCATAAAACACACGTGCTTCCCCGCAGGGCTCCCCCGGGGGAGCGAGAACACCGTATATTTATAAATTCTTTAAATTATGCCCGCAAACACGCATCTTTCCATTTATCTTTAGATACCCGGCAGCCGTATATCTCCCCCGCCCCCCATCTCTCTGAACCCACAGGAGAGACCGCGCGGACCCTTGACCCGAGGAACACTTCTTATTTTATGGTGATGAACTAGCCTCGATAATAGCCATGGCTGATATCACACCCAGTTAGGGGGGCCATAAATAATTCTCTTCTCCCCCGCACAGAAGCTATAAACCAGGGCCGAGGCGCGATAGTTTATCAAAGACGAGGGCTGGCTCCTTAAATAAACCGCGGTGATCTCACTCGGCGCCGCCGGGCTCGGCTGCGAGCCCCCTCCCACGCGGCCCCCAGCACGGGCGCAGCGCGCGGCACGCTCGCTCGCTCACACCCGCCAGCGGCCCGGGCACCGCCGCCCCCCGCCCGCCTCCCGTCTCCCGTCTCCCGCGGGGCCTGGGCGGCGGCGGCGGCGCGAGGTCTGAGCCGGGCGCCCCTGGATCGTGCGCGCGCGCGGTCTCCCGCAGTCGCCCCCTGCCGGCGCGTGGGCCACTCGCGCCGCGGCGGGCGCCACTTACCCCGGGCAGGGTCTTCTGCTCGTGCAGCGCGCTCTGGGCCTTCAGTGCCGACTCACGCTCGCAGTAGGTGAGGAAAGCGCAGCCTGGGGAGGGAAGCAAGGCCGAGAAGGGTCAGTGGGGCGCCCCGCGCCGCCGCGCGCTCCCGCCGCCCCATCCCTCTCCCACCTCTCTCGCCCAGCGCACTCCACTTGGCGCTTTCCTACCTCTCGGCGTTCCGGGCGTCTGTCTCGCCGCCCTCCCTTGCTTTTCTAGCTTGCTCCGTCCGCGCACTCCCCACCCCGCATCTTCCCGCTCTCCCTACGGGTGGGTCTGTCGCTGTCCAGGTGCCTCGGGCGACTCTGCCCTCCCTTCCGCCCTCCCTTGGGGGCTGCCTCCGTCTGTTTCGACCCAGCCTGTGCACCTCCCAGAAGGGACTTCTTGCACGCTCACCGCGGCACCTCCAGCCACCCTTGACGGCCCTCAGGACCCTTGGAGGCTGCTCCCTCAGGCATGGGGACAAACCTGTAAGGAGGACCCAGGCCAGCAGTCCTAATAAAACGAACGGAACCGTCGCTGCCTCCTGTGTCCCCTGCCCCAGTGTGGACGCAGTGGTGGTCTTTGCAGCCTTGCTATTCAGGGGGCATCTCCAGCTGCCCGGTTCCTGTGCACAGCCAGAGAGACCTGAGGCTCACCTGCCCTCTGCCTCTGTTTCCGGGGTGCTGCCCCCACCCCACGCCTGGCCTCTGTCTCCCTGTCTGTGTTTTGGGAGGGCTGAGCAGTGGCCACGTTGGCCCGTCTGATTCAACCACTGAGTGATTCTAACCAGTGCCGCGCCATTGCCTCCTCCCCAGGGTAGTCGGTTAACTCAGGGGAGGATTTCTGAGGCTGGCCCACAGGTGAGGCAAGAGCCTTTTCAAGGGCCCCATGTCCGCGTCCCCTTTCTCTGGTGCAGATGTCACCGACAGTAGCCAGCCTGGAAGCCATGGGGGCAAGCCCTAAAGCCCACCTTAGCTGAAGCAGGTTTGAGTCTGCTGGGGAACCGTGGCCCCAGAGCTGGCACCCTGCTCTGGGTGCACCCCTCTTGTTCTTGTCTGCCTCCCCAAACAACCTGCACACACGTCTGTCCCAGTTCCTGGGCTCTCAGTCTCCCCACCTGCTACGCCTTCTCTCTCCATGTTCACTTCTCCTGACTCTGAACATCTTTCAGGAATGTGATAGTTCTGCCTCCTCCAGGCAGCCTTCCTCAACTGCTGGAGTCCATCCCTGGGCAGCCACTGAGCGCTTCTCATGGCCCTTTGTTTCCTGTGCCCAGCCTTGTGGCTTTTGTTCCGGAGGCCAGCAGGCTGCTGGTGCCTGTGTCATCTCTGTCACCATGGGTGCTCCCACTGTGTTCTGCTGTTCCTGACTCTCTGTCCAGCGAGTGTCCAACAACACCCTCCCCCCTTTCCAGTAGAGAGGCTGACCTGCCTCGCTTCCCCCTAGCTTCAAAGAGAAGGCAGGAGGGCAGGGTGTGTGTGTGTGCCGGGATGCAGAGCTGGAGACGGAAGCCTAGGAGGCAGAGGCGCTCCCTTCCCTGGGCCTCTCTGCCTTCCTCACCTCCAACTTGGCCAAGGAGCCTGTCTCTCTCCCTCTGCCTCATCCCTCCCCTCGGCCAGACCCCGCATCACCCTCCTCCCTCCTGGTCACTGGCAGACGGTTATTGATGCAGACACCGGGGACTGAAATGAATAGCGGTCAGAGGCCCTCGTGACGTCGTCCCTCGTGCTGCCGCCTGCCTCTCCCGGGGGCGTCTTTCCTCCCGTCCCCTTGTTGGCCTTGTCCTCTGCCTGCAGCCAGGAGTCTGCCACTGCCTCAGCTGTACACAGGCAAGCCAGCTTGGGACAAGGTCAGGGGCAGGCTTGGAGGTGGGCTGCTGGGAGGAGGAGGAGGAGGAGAAGGGAATGGCCATATTGTTTCCAAGCCCAGGATAACAAGGAAAAAATTCCAGAGGAAAAAAGATCTGTTGCTTTTGTCCTGCTTCCGGGAACTGCAGTCAGAGCTTTGGAGAGAGCTCTCAACTCCTACAAACCAGAATCTGGCAGGGACCCCCGGCCACTGGGTGCCCTCTGCTGAGCCTTTTGCACCCTGACCTGCCTTACTCCCCGCCCTCCCGTTTCTTTGGCCTGACAATGCTCTCTCATGGTGCTCCCTCCGCTGTCCCCTGCAAAGCAGGTGGATGACGCCGACCAGGTGAGCCCCTTCTCGTCCCTCTCTCTGAACCCCAGTATCCTCATGGATGCAAAGGGGCAGACATTGTGCCAACCAGGCGGTGAGGAGGAAGCCCCTCTGCAGAGCCCACTCATGGCCCACCTCTTGTGCCTCTCCACTCTCTCTTGTGAAGCAGGAGGGGAGAGAGGCGCAAGGTCCCTGCTTCCCCCGTCGCCCTGGGAGGAAGGGCCCTTCTTGCACTTTATCTTCAGCAGGTTGAGTCGGATGCGGCACCGTGGCAGATTAGCAGGCTCACTTAAGGCTCTCTTGGAAAGGCAAACATGGGGCCGGCCCAGCAGTTCTTAACACTGACTTCAGGCTCGTCTGTTCCCTGGCGGAGGGAAGCTCCCTTGGGGGTGGGGGTGAGGGCAAGCAGCTTTGGTGGGGACAGAGCTGCAGAAGGGGTGTTTGCCATTATGGGATGCTGTGGATGGCAAGACCACGGTGGGCCGGGGCGCTGGCCAAGGTGTGCTTTGGCGTGGCTGTGTGAAAAGGGTGTCCAAGTCCAGCCATTGGACTCTGACTGTCTCGCATGTGTAGGGAATGTGGTGAGGTCCCCGGGAGCCCCACCCAGAGCAACTAGCCTTGACCTCCTGTGGCTCACGGGGGTTCAACAGGGCAGGGGTTGTGACTGTGAGCTGGGGTGGCCTGCAGGCGGGAAGCTGGGCAGTGTTGGCTGCAGCCTGGCAGCGTCAGCATCAGCCAGACTCACTCTGCTGTGAGGCACTGAGGGGTCCCCAGGGACCTGCTGCTGGGTGGGTGGCAGGAAAGGCCCTGTGGGAGCTCTGGGGGCAGGGAATGTGACAGCTGTGTCACTGTGCAGAAGAGGGCCACTGGCACTGGGCTCTGGCCTAGGGGGCTTGAGAAGGGGGCATCCTTCCTGGGGATAGGGCTGGAATTCCTGCCTGAGTCCTGACCCTGCAGGCAGAGTGCACCTGCTCTGTGCTCCTGGAGGGCGGACTGAAGGTCCACTGTAGAACAATAAACAAACAAACAAAAATTGAAAGCCACCTACATAGTAAAAACGAAAACCACTTAACTGCCCCTTAGGGCAGGAATGTTTTTATTTTAACTGTGACTACTCTGCAGCAGTTAACAAGATGAAATGATCCTAAAAGCACCGACATGGGAAGTTGGGCAGTGCTGTACTCTGTGTGTGTGCCATGGCGACACCCCCGGCTTCTCCCCTGGCTACTGACATCCACACCTCTGTGCCAAGGACAGAGGCTACAAGTCACACGGAGAGAAAACAGGGAGTCCGGGAGAGGGCGGGGCTGCCTCTCATGACTTTCACTTGTTTCATTGGCTTTGACACATTTAGACCCAGAATGAATTCATGTATCACTTGCATAATTAACTTTAAAGAAAAAGCCACCTTAGCTGAAGGAAAGAGGAGGGTGGACTGGAAAGGAGGTGGGTGAAGTGGGGACCCTGGCCTGTGTCACTGGGCTTCAGCTGCCTACCACACGTGTCACTGGTGAGGCTGTAGGGCCCCTCCACCGAGTTCCCTCTCCAGCTGGAGTTAGGGGGTATCAGCCTAGGAGCAGAAGTAGGCTCTTGCCACCCAGAAGGCGGCACACGTAATGGTTTTGGTCCCTTGGCCCTGAGTTCCGGAGGTTGGTGTTTGAGGCATGGGACTCGTGATGGAGCAGATGGGCTCCCCATCCAGGCTCCCTTCCATCCTCCCAGGGCCCTCCCAGCTGTGGGATGCTCATGGTAGGAGCCAAGGGGAGAGCTGCACAGGTGCCATGCACAGGGCTGAGTTAAGACCTCACTCTGTGTCTGATGGCTGTCCCCAGCTCACCACCTGAGGGTCAGCATCCTCTCTCCTACCCCTGCTGCAGCCTGGCATGCAGGGTGCACTTTGGAGGTCTCTAGGGTTGGGGGGGGTGGTGAGTGCAGAGAGAGGACATCACACACCACAGCCCTGCCAGCAGTATTGACCCCTGGGCTCCTACTCCATAGTGCACAGGGCCAACCCTCTGGCTCATGCTGACCTGCCTTTCTCTGCCGCTCTCGATTCTACTGTGTGTGGAACACTCTGGCCCTGCTTGGCTGCCTAACCTCCTCATGCTCACTGTTCTAAGTCACTTGTCTCTGCCATTTACCATGCCTTATGTCCCTGAGTCCGTCTGTGAGGTGGAGACGAGCCCTTGTGGGTCTACAGGGCTGACTGGACGGCTGAGCTCCTAGCGCTGGTGTCTGGGGGCTGCAGCATAAGAGGACAGATCTAGGACGGAGACCCACAACTGGGGCACTGGAGTGGGCTTGGGAGGCATTGCAAGGGGCAGAGTAGGGAGGAAGAGAGGAGGAGGGTGGGGCCCGGAAGGTTGGAGTCAACCAGGGAGAGGCGGGAAGAGGATGCAGGTGGGTGCTGTTAAGGGCAGGGCACAAGCAGGGGTGACCGCTGCCCTGTCCACCAGGGGTAGCCTGTGGACCACTGCTGCCGCCTGAGAAGGTGGGTGGGGCCCCGGCCACGTGGGGGAAAAACACAGCGCGGCAGAATTAATTGCACGGAGGAGATGGCAGTAATTTACAAAGCCCCCGTGCGCGGGGATAAAAGGCCCTTGTCATCGTGAAGTGAAGGAAGTGCAATTTCCTGCCCGACTCGAGCAGCGCCGAAGCCTGGGGTGCAATCATCACGCAAGGGAAGGCTCCCGGTGCCACGCGCTCCCCCTCCCGCCCCGGCCAGGCCTTGGCTTCCTACTAATTGAATTACAGAATTAGCCAGAGGAAGGTGGTCTGAGAATAGGAAGATCTGGACTTTAATAAAACATCACATCCTTCAGGCCTTGTGCTCAGCTGGCCTGGGGGAAGGGGGAGAGAGCCAGACCTGGGGCGGAGAGCGCTCTCTGAT